TAATCCATTTATTTAAGCAGTATAGGAAGTTTCACAAAATTAATTGTTAAAAATTTGAACGATGGCCATATACCGTGAAATAAAGTTTAGCACACACTAATATAAATGTCAGATGTGGTTGGAGATTATTAAATAACACTAAAGAGTATAAGATTAAATTTATAAAGCATCTACATATTTTGAGTGAAATTCAAAAAATATCACAATATTGTTTTACTTCATAGTTGCATCCTTCACTTACATATGAAGATAGTTAAAGAGATTTGGAACCTTTGTTCTCTCCATTTCTTCTGATAGTTGAGATTTAATAGGGGTCATTCCACTAATTTAAGCAGTGTATGAAGTTTAACTAAATTAATTGCAACAAAATTAGAACGATGACCTAGTACCATGAAACAAAGTTTAGAATACATAAATATAAATTCCGTATGTGGTTATAAATTTTTAGATAACACTAAAGAGTCAAAGCTTTTGTATATAGAGTATTTATCAAAAAGTAAAATATTTTCGTGAGGGTTAACTTACATATTTTGAGTAAAATTCGAAATGTATGACCATATTGTTTAAATGTATAGTTTAATTTTACATTGACATATAATGATAGTCAAAGAGGCTTGAACCCTTTTGTCTCCATTTCTCTAGAAATTTCATAGTGGTTAATCCATTGACTTAAGCAGTATATGAATGTTAACTAAATTAGTTGTTAAAAATTAGAATGATGGCCATGTACCATGAAAATAAGTTTAGTATATATTAAAATAAATATCTGATGTGCTTAGAAATTATCAAATAACACTAAGAGTAAGTTCAATTTACAGAGCATTTACCGAAAGCTAAATATTTTCGTAGGATTCAACCTATATATTTTTATTAAAATTCAAAAAAAAATACGATCATGTTGTTTAAATACATTTTTTCATCCTCCACTAACATATGCTGATGTTTAAAAAGGTTTGGAACCTTTGTTGTCTCTTTTTATCTAGATAATAGTGATTTCATATTGGTTAGTCCAATGATTTAAGCAGTATGTTAAATTTAACTAAATTAATTGTTAAAAATTAGAACGATGGTCATGTGCCGTGAAATAAAGTCTAGAATACATTAATATAAATGTTGGATGTGACTAGAAATTATTATATAATTATAAAGAGTATAAGTTCCAATTTGTAAAAAAGTTACTAAAATGTTAAATATATTCGTAGGGGTTAACCTACATATTTTGAGTAAAATTCAAAAAATATCACAAAATTGTTTTATTGCATAGTTGCATTCTCCACTTATATAAGATGATGGTTAAAGAGGTTTGAAACCTTTGTTGTCCCCACTTCTCTAAATAATAGAAATTTAATAAGGGTTAATCCATTAATTTAAGCAATGTATGAAATTTAACTAAATAACAGTTACAAACTTAGAATGTTGACCATGTACCAAAAGAAAGTTTATCATACATTAATATAAATTCCAAATGTGGTTAGTAATTATTAAATAGTACTAAAGAGTATAATGTTTAATTTATAAAGCATTTTCTGAAATGCTAAATATTTTTATAGAAGTTAACCTACATATTTTGAGTAAAAATAAAAAAAATATCACAATATTGTTTTATTGCATAGTTGCATCCTCCACTTACATATGATGATGGTCAAAGAGGTTTGGAACATTTGTTGTCTCCGTCTCTCTAGATATTTCATAGTAGTTAGTCCACTGATTTAAGTAATATATGAAGTTTAACTAAATTAGTTGCTACAAATTAGAATAAAGACCATGTACCATGAAATAAAGTAGCATATATTAATATAAATGTCTTATGTGACTAGAAATTATTGAAAAACACTAAAGAGTATAAGGTTCAATTTATATAGCATCTACCGAAAGCTAAATATTTTCGTAGGGTTTAACCTATATAATTTTATTAAAACTTAAAAAATACGACCATGTTGTTTAAATGCATTTTTGAATCCTCCACTAACATATGATGATGGTTAATGAGGTTTGGAACCTTTGTTATCTCCTTTTCTCTGGATAATAGTGTTTTAATAAGGTTTAGTCCATTAGTTTAAGCAGTGTATTAAATTTAAATAAATTAATAGTTAAAAATTAGAACGATGTCCATGTGCCGTGAAATAAAGTCTAGCATACATTAATATAAATTTCGGATGTGGTTAGAAATTATTAAATAATAATAAAGAGTATAAGTTTAAATTTATAAAGCATTTACTAAAATGCTAAATATATTTATAGAGGTTAACCTACATATTAGGTAAAATTCAAAAAAATATCAAAATATTGTTTTATTGCATAGTTGCATTCTCCACTTACATAAGATGATGGTCAAAGAGGTTTAGAACCTTTGTTGTCTCCATTTCTCTAGATAGTAGAAACTTAATAAGGGTTAATCCATTAATTTAAGCAATGTATGAAATTTAATTAAATAACTATTACAAACTTAGAACGATGGCCATGTACCATGAAAAAAAGTTTAGCATACATTAATATAAATTCCAGATGTGGTCAGAAATTTTTAAATAGCACTAAAGAGTATAAGGTTCAATTTATAAAACATTTTTTGAAATGCTAAATAATTTCATAGAGGTTAACCTACATAGTTTAAGTAAAACTAAAAAAATATCACAATATAGTTTTATTGCATAGTTGCATCCTCCACTTACATATGATGATGGTCAAAGAGGTTTGGAACCTTTTTTGCTTCCATTTCTCTAGATAGTAGAGATTTAATAGTGGTTAGTCCAGTGATATAAACAGTGTATGAAGTTTACCTAAATTAATTGTTACAAAATTAGAACGACGGCCATATACCATTAAGAAAAGTTTAGCATACATTATTATAAATTAAAAATGTGGTTTGAAATTATTAAAAAACACTCAATAGTATAAGGTTCTATATATGGAGCATTTATCAAAAGCTAAATATTTTTGTAGAAGTTAACTTACATATTTGAGTAAAATTTAAAGATACGGCCATATTTTTTAAATGCATAGTTTCTTTCTACACTGAAGCATTATGATGGTCATAAAGGTTTGTAACCTTAATTGGTTGTCTCAGTTTCTCTTGATATTTCATTGTGGTTAGTCCACTTATTTAAGCAGTATATGAAGTTTAACTAAATTAATTTTTAAAATTAGAACGATGGCCATTTACAGTGAAATAAATTTTAGTATACATTAACATAAATATCGGATGTGGTTATAAATTATTAAATAAAACTAAACAGTATAAGGTTCAATTTATAAAGCATTTACTGAAATGTTAATCATTTTTGTAGAGGTTAACCTACATATTCTGAGTAAAATGAAAAAAAATATCAAAATATTGTTTTATCGCATAGTTGTAACCTCCACTTACATATGATGATGTTCAAAGAGGTTTGGAACCTTTGTTGATTCCGTTTCCCTATATAGTAGAAAATTTAATAATGGTTATAGTCCATTGATTTAAGTAGTGTATAAAGTTTAACTAAATTAACTGTTAAAAATTAGAACGAAGGCCATGTACCACAAACGAATGTCTATCATACATTAATATAAATTTTAGATGTGGTTATAATTTATTAAATAGCATTAACGAGTAAAAGGCTTTGTACACAAAGCATTTATCGAAAAACTAAATATTTTCATAGGGGTTAACTTACATATTTAGAGTAAAATTTTTTAAAAATACAACCATATTGTTTAAATGCATATTTCCAATCTCCACTGACATATGATGATGTCCAAAAAGGTTTGAAACCTTTGTTTTCTCCTCTCTCTAGATATTTCATAGTGGTTAGTTTACTGATTTAAGCAGTATATGAAATTTAACTAAATTAATTGTTACAAGTTAGAACGAAGGCTATGTACCAAAAAATAAAATAGCATATATTAATATAAATTTCTGATGTGATTATAAACTATTAAAAAACACTAAAGAGTATAAGGTTAAATTTAAAGATCATTTACCGAAAGCTAAATATTTTTGTAGGGTTTAAATTATATATTTTATTTAAATTCAAAAAAATATGACCATGTTGTTTAAATGCATTGTTGTATCCTCCGCTATCATATGATGATGATTAGAGAGGTTTGGAACATTTGTTGTCTTATTTTCTCTAGAAAAAAGTATGTTCATAGTGGTTAGTCCATTGATTTAAGTAGTATATTAAGTTTAACTAAATTAATTGTTAAAAATTAGAAGGATGACCAGTGCCATGAAATAAGTCTAGCATACCTTAACATAAATTTCGGATGTAGTTAGAAATAATTAAATAATATTAAAGAGCATAAGTTTCAATTTATAAAGCATTTACTAAAATGATAAATATATTCGTAGTAGTTAATCTACATATTATGAATAAAATTCAAAAAATATCATAATATTGTTTAATTATATAGTTGCACCCTCCATTTACATATGATGATGGTCAAAGAGGTTTAGAACATTTGTTGTCTTGTATCTATAGATAGTATAGATTTAAAAATGGTTAGTCCACTGATTTAAGCAAATGATTGAGTATAGTTGGGAAATATGTAAATGAAATTTATAGAAAAAGCAATTTAAAAAAGTTATAACTTTCAATAATATTATTAGATATTAAAGTACTCTCACATATTTAGATTCATACAAATTTGACTACCAATCATGTGTCACACTCTCTAGAGATATCCACATCATTTGTAGGTCAAAAAATACAATTAATAAGAGACATAGTTTTCAAAACTTTTACATCACCGTCTAATTAATTAATCAAAGCGACTTAATTAACCAGATTGGATGGATGCATGGTGGACAAGCGACTATATAATTCAAGGACCCGATTTAGCGATCTCAGTGCAAGCAGCTGGAATCATCTGCCCGGTGANTATCCACATCATTTGTAGGTCAAAAAATACAATTAATAAGAGACATAGTTTTCAAAACTTTTACATCACCGTCTAATTAATTAATCAAAGCGACTTAATTAACCAGATTGGATGGATGCATGGTGGACAAGCGACTATATAATTCAAGGACCCGATTTAGCGATCTCAGTGCAAGCAGCTGGAATCATCTGCCCGGTGAGAACAGGCTTCATGTTAGCACATGCCCCAACAGCTGGTCCTTCTGGACCGTTGTGGACCAAGTTGATGTTATCAAGAGCAACATTGGTGCAAGGGGTGCCTGAACTGCAGATTAATTTCACAGCAGTCTTTGTAGCTGATGTGCCCTTAATGTTCTTGAAGGTCACGTCGGATAATTTCACTTTAGAAGGTACCTACACAAGATATATATATATATATAAGTTCGATGGATATATATTATGTGACAAATTTTGTTTGTTATAATATTTGATTGGGTTACATACCCCAACTTTGCAGCCGGCATAAGGACAGTACTCTTGGTCGATGAGAACGGGAGTGCTAACATTGTCCATTGTGATATCCTCAAAAATAATGTTGGAGGCGATACCAGGGGGAGATCCAGGCCATGTCTTGACGCGAACACCATTCATGGTGTTCTTGATGAGGCATTTCCTCACGGTGACTCCTTTAACTGGTTGCTCATTAGGGTACCTTCCGAGACTGCCTACGGCAATGCCGTGTCCTGGTCCACATTCCACATTCTCAACAATGAGATTTTCAGTACCATCTCCTATTGAAACGCAGTCATCTCCTGTTTTAATCTTTGCCCCTATTAAGTTCACACCAACGGACCTTCCGATGTGGATACCATCGGTGTTGAGACTCTCTGGAGGTGCATCAATACCAATATTCTCAAGAGTTACGTTCTTGCAGTTGAGAACGTTTATGTGGAAAAGTTTGCTGTTCGTTGATGTTATGCCCATAATTTTCGAGTTTGTAAGACCCGTGAATCGTATGTTCTGATACCAAAACGCATGCATGCATGTAATTAAACTCACCAAATTAAACTGCTAATAGTTATAATTAACATTAAGGTGATATAAGTGAATGTTCTTACGATGGGGAGAGAGTTGCATTTTCCAGTTTTGGCACAGTCATTGGCCTTCCAAGCGAGTGAGCCTTGACCGTCAAAAATGGCTCCGTTTCCATTCAAAGTGAAATCAGCTAGATTAGTAAAATCAACCCATCCACAGTGAGGCTTAGCGCCAGCGATCGTAGCCGGAGCTTTCAAATTGCCATGCATTTCCAAAGTGACGGGACCCTTGCATGGACCTAAGAACTCTACGCTATCCACCAAATAGTCACCCTTTGGCACTGTCATTGTACTCGGTCCTGCTGCTTCACATGCTGTTTTCCATGCAGCCGTAAATGCCTATATATCAAACCATGCATACGGAATCTAATTAAATAAAACGTGTATATGTAAATGTAAATATCAGATTTGGTACGTACCGCAGTGTCATCGGTTGTTCCGTCTCCTTTGGCTCCTGCTGCTTTGACGTCAAGTGATCCAGCTGGTGCTGTAGCTCCACCCGGTGCTGCTGGTTTGGCTCCACCCGGTGCAGCTGGATCAAGGGGTGTCCCATTTGCTATTGTGTTGGCAATAGCCACTACAAATACAATAAATACCGTCTTTGCTCTGCGCAAACCCACCATTTTTATTCTCTTATTGGTTTTGTCTTATTTAATATTAGAGAAATTATTTTTATTTTTTATTTTTTATTTTTTATTTTTATTTTGTTTTTGAGTTTTGATGATGAATCGAGAGTTCGTTTTATAGCAGCACAGAAGGAAATTGAAAACCACAAACTCCTTCTACATAGCTAAAATTAGAATGATAGAATTAGCTTTGCCCAAAAAAAAGAAGAATGATAGAATTAGCAAGTGAGGCGCGATAATTGTTCTGACTTGGTGCGTTTTCTATATTCAGGGTGTTATATATGTACATATATAACTTCTATTTCTTCATATAGCTAAAAATATACTCCCTTTTTAATATATAAGTATTTACACATACATATCTACATCTATTTTTAATTATGTACATATAAAACTTGTATCTCATCTTGGAGTGAGCAATCCAAGATTTTTTTTGTGCCCTAAGGAATGAACAATCCAGTTTGTGATATAGTATTTGTCCAGTAATCATGAAAGACAGAAATTTTATAAAAGTTGGATGTGACTAGAAATTATTATATAATTCTAAATAGTATAAGTTCCAATTTATAAAAAAAATTACTAAAATTAAGTATATTCGTAGGAGTTAACCTACATATTTTGAGTAAAATTAAAAAAATATCACAAAATTGTTTTATTGCATAGTTGCATTCTCCACTTATATAAGATGATGGTTAAAGAGGTTTAGAACCTTTGTTGTCCCCACTTCTCTAGATAGTAGAAATTTAATAAGGGTTAGTCCACTAATTTAAGCAATGTATGAAATTTAACTAAATAATTGTTACAAACTTAGAACGATGACCATGTACCAAAAGAAAGTTTATCATACTTAATATAAATTCTAAATGTGGTTAGGAATTATTCAATAGTACTAAAGAGTATAAGGTTTAATTTATAAAGCATTTTCTGAAATGCTAAATATTTTTATAGAGGTTAACCTACATATTTTGAGTAAAATTAAAAAAAACAAATATCACAATATTGTTTTATTGCATAGTTGCATCCTCCACTTACATATGATGATGGTCAAAGAGGTTTGGAACATTTGTTGTCTCCGTCTCTCTAGATATTTCATAGTGGTTAGTCCACTGATTAAAGTAATATATGAAGTTTAACTAAATTAGTTGTTACAAATTAGAACGAAGACCATGTACAATGAAATAAAGTAGCATATATTAATATAAATGTCTTATGTGATTAGAAATTATTAAAAAACACTCAAGAGTATAAGGTTCAATTTATATAGTATTTATCGAAAACTAAATATTTTTGTAGGGTTTAACCTATATATTTTATTAAAATTCAAAAACAATATGACCATGTTATTTAAATGCATTGTTGCATCTTCCACTAGCATATGATGATGATTAATGAGGTTTGGAACCTTTGTTATCTTATTTTCTTTAGATAATAATGCTTTGATAGTGTTTAGTCTATTAGTTTAAGCAGTATATTAAATTTAACTAAATTAATAGTTAAAAATTAGAAAGATGGCCATGTGCCGTGAATTAAAGTCTAGCATACATTAATATAAATATCGGATGTGGTTAAAAATTATTAAATAATAATAAAGAGTATAAGTTTAAATTTATAAAGCATTTACTAAAACATGTTAAATATATTTGTAGGGGTTAACCTACATATTTTGAGTAAAATTCAAAAAAATACCAAAATATTGTTTTATTGCATTGTTGTATTCCCCACTTACATAAGATGATGGTCAAAGAGGTTTGGAACCTTTGTTGTCTCCATTTCTCTAGATAGTAGAAATTTAATAAGGGTTAGTCTATTAATTTAAGTAATGTATGAAATTTAACTAAATAACTATTACAAACTTAGAATGATGGCTATGTACCATGAAAGAAAGTTTAGCATACATTAATATAAATTCCAGATGTTGTCAGAAATTATTAAATAGCACTAAAGAGTATAAGGTTCAATTTATAAAACATTTTTTGAAATGCTAAATATTTTCATAGGGGGTTAACCTACATATTTTAAGTAAAATTAAAAAAATATCAAAATATTGTTTTATTGCATAGTTGCATCCTCCACTTACATATGATGATGGTCAATGAGGTTTTGAACCTTTGTTGCCTCCATTTCTCTAGATAGTATAGATTTAATAGTGGTTAATCCAGTGATATAAACAATGTATGAAGTTTACCTAAATTAATTGTTACAAAATTAGAAACGACGGCCTTATACCATGAAACAAAGTTTAGCATACATTATTTTAAATTAAAAATGTGGTTTGAAATTATTAAAAACACTAAATAGTATAAGGTTTTATATATGGAGCATTTATCGAAACCTAAATATTTTTGTAGGAGTTAACTTACATATTTGAGTAAAATTTGAAGATATGACCATATTTTTTAAATGCATAGTTTATTTCTCCACTGAATATTATGATGGTCATAAAGGTTTGTAATCTTAATTTTTTGTCTCAATTTCTCTTGATATTTTATTGTGGTTAGTCCACTTATTTAAGCTGTATATGAAGTTTAACTAAGATAATTGTTAAAATTTAGAACGATGGCCATGTACCGTGAAATAAAGTTTAGTATACGTTATAAATATCGGATGTGGTTATAAATTATTAAATAAAACTAAACAGTATAAGGTTCAATTTATAAAGCATTTACTGAAATGTTAATCATTTTTGTAGAGGTTAACCTACATATTCTGAGTAAAATGCAAAAATATCAAAATATTGTTTTATCGCATAGTTGCAACCTCCACTTACATATGATGATGGTCAAAGAAGTTTGGAACCTTTGTTGTATCCGTTTCCTTATATAGTAGAAATTTAATAGTGGTTATACTCCATTGATTTAAGTAGTGTATGAAGTTTAACTAAATTAACTGTTAAAAAATTAGAACGATGGCCATGTACCACAAAAGAATGTCTAGCATACATTAATATAAATTTTGGATGTGGTTAGAATTTATTAAATAGCATTAATAAATTCATAGTGGTTAGTCTACTAATTTAAGCAGTATATGAAATTTAACTAAATTAATTGTTACAAGTTAGAACGAAGGCTATATGTACCATAAAATAAAATAGCTTATATTAATAGAAATTTCTGATGTGATTATAAAGAGTATAAGGTTAAATTTAAAGAGAATTTACCGAAAGCTAAATATTTTTGTAGGGTTTAAATTATATGTTTTATTTAAATTCAAAAAAATACGACCATGTTGTTTAAATGCATTGTTGTATCCTCCGCTATCATATGATGATGATTAGAGAGGTTTGAAACATTTGTTGTCTTATTTTCTCTAGAAAAAAATATTTTCATAGTGGTTAGTCCATTGATTTAAGCAGTATATATTAAGTTTAACTAAACTAATTGTTAAAAATTAGAAGGATGGCCATGTGCCATGAAATAAGTCTAGCATACATTAATATAAATGCCAGATGTGGTTAGAAATTATTAAATAATATTAAAGAGCATAAGTTTCAATTTATAAAGCATTTACTAAAATGATAAATATATTCGTAGGAGTTAATCTATATATTGTGAATAAAATTCAAAAAATATCATAATATTGTTTTATTATATAGTTGCATCCTCCACTTACATATGATGATGGTCAAAGAGGTTTAGAATCTTTGTTTTCTTGTTTCTTTAGATAGTATAGATTTAAAAATGGTTAAGCAAAAGGTTGAATATAGTTGGGAAATATGTAAATGAAATTTATAAAAAAGGCAATTTAGAAAACTTAAAATTTTCAATAATATTATAATATTAGAGTACTCTCACATATTGAGAATCATACAAAATTGACTAACAATCATGTGTCACGCTCTCTAGAGATATCCACATCATTTGTAGGTCAAAAATTAAAATAAATAAGAGACATATTTTTCAAAACTTTTACATCGCCGTCTAATTAATTAATCAAAGCGTCTTAATTAATTAACCAGATTGGATAGATGCATGGTGGACAAGCGACTACATAATTCAAGGACCCGATTTAGCGATCTCAGTGCAAGCAGCTGGAATCATCTGCCCGGTGAGAACAGGCTTCATGTTAGCACATGCCCCAACAGCTGGTCCTTCTGGACCGTTGTGGACCAAGTTGATGTTATCAAGAGCAACATTGGTGCAAGGGGTGCCTGAACTGCAGATTAATTTCACAGCAGTCTTTGTAGCTGATGTGCCCTTAATGTTCTTGAAGGTCACGTCGGATAATTTCACTTTAGAAGGTACCTACACAAGATATATGTATTTATAAGTTCGATGTATATAAATATGATGTGACAAATTAATTTTAAATTTTTGTAATATATATTTTTGTAATAATATTTGATTGGGTTACATACCCCAACTTTGCAGCCGGCATAAGGACAGTACTCTTGGTCGATGAGAACGGGAGTGCTAACATTGTCCATTGTGATATCCTCAAAAATAATGTTGGAGGCGATACCAGGGGGAGATCCAGGCCATGTCTTGACGCGAACACCATTCATGGTGTTCTTGATGAGGCATTTCCTCACGGTGACTCCTTTAACTGGTTGCTCATTAGGGTACCTTCCGAGACTGCCTACGGCAATGCCGTGTCCTGGTCCACATTCCACATTCTCAACAATGAGATTTTCAGTACCATCTCCTATTGAAACGCAGTCATCTCCTGTTTTAATCTTTGCCCCTATTAAGTTCACACCAACGGACCTTCCGATGTGGATACCATCGGTGTTGAGACTCTCTGGAGGTGCATCAATACCAATATTCTCAAGAGTTACGTTCTTGCAGTTGAGAACGTTTATGTGGAAAAGTTTGCTGTTCGTTGATGTTATGCCCATAATTTTCGAGTTTGTAAGACCCGTGAATCGTATGTTCTGATACCAAAACGCATGCATGCATGTAATTAAACTCACCAAATTAAACTGCTAATAGTTATAATAACATTAAGGTGATATAAGTGAATGTTCTTACGATGGGGAGAGAGTTGCATTTTCCAGTTTTGGCACAGTCATTGGCCTTCCAAGCGAGTGAGCCTTGACCGTCAAAAATGGCTCCGTTTCCATTCAAAGTGAAATCAGCTAGATTAGTAAAATCAACCCATCCACAGTGAGGCTTAGCGCCAGCGATCGTAGCTGGAGCTTTCAAATTGCCATGCATTTCCAAAGTGACGGGACCCTTGCATGGACCTAAGAACTCTACGCTATCCACCAAATAGTCACCCTTTGGCACTGTCATTGTACTCGGTCCTGCTGCTTCACATGCTGTTTTCCATGCAGCCGTAAATGCCTATATATCAAACCATGCATACGGAATCTAATTAAATAAAACGTGTANTTGGCTCCTGCTGCTTTGACGTCAAGTGATCCAGCTGGTGCTGTAGCTCCACCCGGTGCTGCTGGTTTGGCTCCACCCGGTGCAGCTGGATCAAGGGGTGTCCCGTTTGCTATTGTGTTGGCAATAGCCACTACAAATACAATAAATACCGTCTTTGCTCTGCGCAAACCCACCATTTTTATTCTCTTATTGGTTTTGTTTTATTTAATATTAGAGAAATTATTTTTTATTTTTTATTTTTTATTTTTATTTTGTTTTTGAGATTTGATGATGAAACGAGAGTCCGTTTTATAGCAGCACAGAAGGAAATTGAAAACCACAAACTCCTTTTACATAGCTAAAAATAGAATGGTAGAATTAGCAATTAAGGCGCGATAATCGTTCTGACTTGGTGTGTTTTCTATATATGGGGTGTTTATATATGTACATCTATAACTTCTATTTCTTCGTATAGCTAAAAATATACCTAAATATACTTTTCTTCATGTAATTATATTTACACAAGTATCTACATCCATGTTTATGTAAATATACTTTCATAGTTGTAAAACAATGTACCGCATCTTAGAGTGAACAAAGCCAAAAAAAACACTACGGCTGTAACTAAATTAACTATATTTGGAATGAAATAGTGTGGAAAGATCAATTCCATTAATTCAATATTTTTTTTACCATTTGATATGAATGGAGTGGAATGGGCATTCCATCAACGCCCTATAAAAATAAAAATAAAATACAAAGTAAAACATTTCATAACAATTTTGTTAATTAAGGAATCAATGAAATAAATTTCTTATATTTTTCTACTGCATTCCAATCACCTTTTTCCATTTCTATTAACTCCATTAGTTTCTTTTAAAGTGTACCAGTTACATACCACAAATGATTTTCATTATTTGATATCTCTAAATATTTAATATAAAAAGGGCCTCAAAACATTTGATGTGCTTTAGGTCAAGGCTGGCTTGGCACCACAAAAGAACTCTAATGCCCCATCAGCCCATGGTTTGGAAATTCGAAAGACTTGTTCAGTGACACTTCAATTATCACATGGTTTTTTTCCATGCTTTGGTTTCATTCATATGATACCATAAATAACTTATCGATAAGTCATTCTTCCTTTCACTAATCTAGTTAAATCACACTTAATTTTGAAATTTTAAATGAATGTATAACTAAAAAGGTAAGTGATATTGATGATATACGTAACCAATTATTTTTTTTTAAGTTTTTCACTTATACCACCACATGCCGGAAGTTAAAAACGGTCAATGTTACCTAGAACACTAAATGCTGTGTGAAAACTTTTTTACTCTCAAATACAACAAAGGTTCGAACATGGGTTAAAGGATATATATATATATACCAAAGCATATTTAAGAAAATTTATTTTGTCAGCATTAGGAGGGGTTACGTATTAAGCGTCTACGAATATTGATGAATTCTCTCCAAAATATGAGAAATGGCTTTCAAATGTTACTTAAGAGTGTTTTGATTTATAAGAAAATACATTTACTGCGTTGGATACATCTACTGTATAGTAAACCTTTCTCCTTGGTTTAGCTAGTAGATGTAGTGACACCTTAAGTACATTTTTCTTGAGATATGCTCGATGCGGCCCATCGTGAGTTATCATATGCACAAAGAATTTCAGTTTTTCGTGTTTGGTAGACCTTAATTAGTGCGCGAAGTCTCTAACAAAAGTTTACCAACTAACAAAAATGATTCTGTAGATTATAATAAAGAATTATGTCAAGTTTCGTTAAAATTATTAAAAAGATAAAAAAAAAAAACTAGAATTTTAATGATATCTTTATTTATTAAACAAAAATTGAAACATTCTCGCATGTCTCGAGTCACTCTTTAGCTGGTTAACTCCAAGCTTAAAGGGACTATTACCTATTTATTCGGCAAAAAAAAAAAAAAACTGTAAGACATATACTTTAATATCCCATCTAATGGAATCATCACCACCAGATTGGATGGATGCATGGTGGACAAACGACTTTATTTCTTTTTATCCGGTTTACATTCTTCGGTGCAAGCCGGTGGAATCATCTTTCCGGAGACAGCAGGCTTGACGTTAGAACATGCTGAGACAGCTGCTCCCTCTTTACCGCTGCTGACCAAGTTTATGTCAGACATAGCAACCTTTTGGCAAGGACAGCCTGGGCTGCAGAGTAGTTTCACAGCAATCTTTGTTGATGATGTGCCATGAATGTTCTTGAAGTTCAGATTCTCCAATTGCACTTTAGATGGCTGCACATAAAATTAATGAAATGAAGATTTTAAATGCTTGGTCAAATATTCTCTATAAATTATTTTAAAATTGAACGTACTAAAGTGTGTTTCGATTAATATAACAAAGATTTTGATTCAGTTACATACCCCAGCTTTGCATTTGCCATGAGGGCAGTACACTTGGTCGATGAGAATGGGCATGCTAACATTGTCCATGGTGATATCCTCGAAAACAGCGTTGGAGACGAGACCAGGGGGAGATCCAGGCCATGTTTTGATACGAACACCATTATCGGTATGCTTGATGATGCATTTACGAACGGTGATTCCTTTCACTGGCTGCTCATTAGGGTACTTTCCAAGACTTCCGATGGAAATACCATGTCCTGGTCCACATTCTACGCCCTCGACAAGTAAATCTTCAGTACCACCTCCAATAGAAATGCAGTCATCTCCGGTTTTAATCTTTGACCCTATAATGGTGACAGCTTTGGACTTTCCGATGTGGATACCATCAGTGTTAAGACTCTCCGGAGGTGCATCAATATGAACATCGTGTAGAGTTACGTTGGTGCATTGATGGATGTTCATGTGGAATAGTTTGCTGTTTGACGATGTTATGCCGCTAATTTTCGAGTTAGTGAGTTGCGTAAGTCGGATGTTCTGTTACAAAACCACACATATACACTTAGTAAATGAATATTAAAAACGCGAGTCAAAATCTAGTGATATTTTAAACCCTAGTTGAAAGTGCTTACGATGGGGAGATTATTGCATTTTCCGGTTTCTTTGCAGTCATTAACCTTCCAAGCCGTTGAGCCTTGACCGTCAAAAATGGCTCCGTTTCCATTCAAAACGAAATTCTCGAGTTTTTTGAAATTAATCCATCCACTATGCGGTTTTCGGGAATTGACAGCAGATGGAGCCTTAAAGTTCCCATGCATTTCAAAAGTGATGGCACATTTGCTTGGACCTTCGAGTTCTAAAGTTTCCACCAAGTAGTCACCCTTTGGCACTGTAATTGTTGTTGGTGTTGATGCTGCAATTGCTTTCTTCCATACATCCATAAATGCCTATAATACCATATATATATATAATCGACCCGCACTTCACGTAAAAAAACCATAATAATAATAATTTAAAAAAGATTTGGTACGTACCGCACTGTCATCGGTTTTGCCGTCTCCTTTAGCTCCAGATGCTTTAACATCAATCGATGGACCAGATGGCGCACCCCCTTTGATTCCCAACTTATCACCAACAGATGAAGCAGCTCCTTTGATTCCAGCTGATGCAGCAGAGGCAGCAGAAGCCGCAGATGCAACTGAGGCAGAAGATGCGTTAGATGCAGCTGATGCAACAGTTGAAGCAGCTCCTTTGACTTTATCTTTTATTTTAGTACCAACAGATGGTTCTTTTTCTTTGCCATCTTCTTTTTTATCTTTGCCATCGTCTTTTTTATCTTTGGGTTCTTTATCTTTGGGTTCGTCTTTTTTATCTTTGGGTTCGTCTTCAGTTAAGTTTCTTTCGTTTCCAACCTCTTCTTTTTCTTTGAGATCCTTGGCAGCGTTTGCTATTGTGATGGCTATAACCACTAGTACTAGAAGAAGCAACGCCTTTGGTTTACGCAAGCCCACCATTTTTTTTTTATTGTAGTTACCTTTTTGATAGTTATAATTTTTTTTTTTTGTAGCTTCTTTTTTTTTGTTTATCTTCTTTTTATGTTTTGTTTTTTTTGTTTTCTGGTTTGTTCTGATGAGTTGAGAGCTCGTTTTATAGAGTAGCACAAGAAGTCTGAAAACCACAAACTAAAAATAGAAGCGAGGTTCGAGAAACATGTTGAGATGAGAGAATTATGCACGATCCTATTGACTTGGTGCGTTTTCTATTTATGGAGTTACTCCTGTAAAGTAATTTGGTCGCAAACTCTTGTGTTATTTTCATCATCCGGTTCAATATTACATTGTTATAATGAAAATGGCATTGTCTATTGCATGAATGATGTAAGAGTAGCGATAGCAATTGGAAGTATGTGTGAAAATCTGTTAGGTTAAGATCAATGTCCTCATAAATGCTGAGATAAGAATTCTACAACCAGAAATAGTGACAAATCGCTAAAATATGGTCAATTAAATCACATTATTTGAAATGAAATGTTTAGATTTCACATATACATCATTTGTTGCATATGCACTCGTGTCTCTCAGAGCATGAGCATCACCGAATCCGCGTTAGAATGTTCAAAAAAAAAAATTTATTATATTTTTTTTCATTTTACTTTTTTAAAACTAAAAAAATAAAATGAACTAATAGCGAACCGTCACATAACGTAAGACCCGCAAAACAGGTTCATTCGAGAGGGGTGAGACGAGACGAGTTCATTACTGTTGAAGTGTTGATTATGATTATTTATGATATTTTATTTTTTTAGATGCTTGTGAACTTGTGTGGTAAGCCTTTGATCTCATGCTCTCATGCAATTAATTTCCAATAATTAAACCGGGTAATATCAAATTGGTTAAGACTAAACTCGGACCGAATAATTTAACATTAATTAACCCTGACCGGGAGAGACAAATGTCTTTTAATTTCGAGATTAAAAAAAAAAACAAAACATAAAGAGAGAGATTTGTCTTTTATCGTGGCTCGAGGCTTTGTCTCCTCTGCGCGTGAAATTCTCGTTAGTGACCCTCACGATCTCTCTCTCTTAACTTTCTCTCTCCTATAACTCGGATCACCACATGACTCTATCTTCCCGTTAATACAGAACCAAACTCCCCTAAAGCTTCGGTTCTTTTTCTCCTTCTCTCTCCCGATTAGATCCCCAAAAAATACATTTTACAAACTTCTTCTCAAAGGCTTCGAGAGAGGGGAGGAGGGGAAGACAGAGTTGATCTGATTTTTGATTGATGTCTGGAGCTGTATCGAGTTCCAGGGACATGGGTTTCGACGACAACAACAAGAAAGATGGAGACGACGGTAACACTTCAAAAGCGGCGTCGTCTCATCAAAACGACGGCACCGACGACGAGGGTGCTGGATCGTTAGGGAGGCAAATGAGTGAAGCCTCTCTTAGCGCTGCTGAGGAAGAAGAAGATGAGGATTCCAAATTACAATTGGGTCCTCAGTACACTATCAAGGAACATCTCGAGAAGGATAAGGTTCTCTCTTTTAATTTTAATATAATATTTTATTAAATTTTTGAAGAATTATATGGAGTTATTGATGAATCTGATGCTTAGGATGATGAGAGTCTGAGGAAGTGGAAAGAACAGCTTCTTGGAAGTGTTGATGTCACCAACATTGGAGGTAAAAAGATTTATATGATTGTTAGATTCATAGTGTTTGTTTGTTGTCTCTGTGATTCATGTTTGGTTAAGAGTAGATCTGGTTGATTGTTGTTCACCTTCAAATATGAACATGATCTTGAATTATCCATTTTAATAAAGTGATTTTTAATTTTTATATATACATCATGTTTAGATTCCACAAATGTATTTTTTTTTTTTTTTTGCATTTCTATAGAATTGTATATTTTTTTTTAATATATGCAGAGACTCTTGACCCTGAAGTGAAGATCATTAGCTTGGCCATCTTATCACCTGGAAGACCAGATATTGTTCTTATGGTTCCGGAGAATGGTAATCCAAAGGGAATGTGGTTTACTTTGAAAGAAGGGAGCAAGTACAGCCTGAAATTTACATTTCAGGTTAACAACAACATTGTCTCTGGTCTTAGGTACACCAATACTGTTTGGAAGACCGGTGTTAAAGGTAAAACAATAACACACAAGTGGTGTCTTAGATTTTCTTAATTGTTTTAAGCGATAATGAATGTGATCTTGTTTTCTTTTGGAATCAGTGGACAGAGGAAAGGAGATGCTTGGAACCTTTAGTCCTCAGTTGGAGCCATACAACCACGTGATGCCTGAAGAGACCACTCCTTCTGGAATGTTTGCTCGAGGATCATATTCTGCAAGAACTAAGGTCGGATAGTGAATATTATCTAACTCTGTGATAAATGTTCTTTGGTGGTGTTGATACTTACAAGTTAATTATCTTGTTTCAGTTTCTTGATGATGATAACAAGTGCTACTTGGAGATCAACTACAGCTTCGACATCCGTAAAGAATGGCCTGCTCTTTAAGACTCAAGAACAAGTCTCCTGAGATGAAGATGTGTTTGTCAGTAGAAGTTGTGTTTGTTTCACTCCTTTTTTTCATCGTTGAACATATTATTTGTGATTCGTTTCTTCGGTCATTTTCCTAGAACAAGAGAGCGACATTTACTTCCTCTTTGGTCTTGAATTTTTTTTTTGTCCAGTAAGAAAGACAGTGTTTGTTCACAAGTCTATTTGTCCTTCAGCTTCTTAACATGTGTTTGATGGCTATGGTTTGTGTCAAACTCTAAGATGTATAATGATTATAATTGTCTCAGTCAAAAGTTGAAGACATGAAAGTTAAAGAAAAAAACAAAAAAGTATTTGCTTGATAGAGAATGCATCGTCTATACTCATTATATGGCTTTGAAGAGAAGAAATGTTTATTTGAGCCCCATTATCTTTTCTTTTTGCATCAACTGAACCGCTATACTTTATCATATACAATTTCTGACCATTTTCTAGTAATTTGCAAAGCTGTTCCAGTAAAATGGTGGTCTGAATTTTCTAAAATTGTCTTTAGAAAAGGCAAACGAGATAAATAAAGGTAGATTTGGGTCATCATGTCTACTCTGTTTTATGAAGGCCCATATGTCTTTTAGACTGGGCCCACCTCGTTTTAAACGTGAGCACCGATCGAATAATAATCTAGAACCGAACCGCGTCTTTGATACAGAGTCGCTCTCATGTAGTAGTTTTGTGCATTTGTCTGATTTTTATTATTTAAAACTAGAAAGTGGTATTCATATATTTTGAATTTGTTTAGTTATTCTACTAACCATTCAAAACACGGAAACTTACTTTAACTGATCCAAAGTTTACTATAGAATATGAATCATCTGCTCTACTAGTTGTATATTTTGTTGTTTTGAAGAATTAGTATTGAGAAGAACCCTTAACTAAAAAAAAAATTGAAATGGATCACAATTGATGATATCAAGTAAACAAAGCAAAGGAAGAAACTTTCACATTTACCAGCTCAGAAAATGGATCTTGTTTGTTGGTCTTTAGTTTTGCTCTCAAAATTAGAAACCCTATCTTTATATACTCTTTAACATAATAATAAGAAGAAAATGACCATCAAGAGGGGTAAGCAAACACACCATTGGACTCCCTCCTTGTTGTACACTTTTTTTTTGGCTCATCTTCTCCCTCAAGTCCCAACAGTTTTCTTTTATTCAAGTGTTCTTATCAGTTTCTTTAAGAGAGTTGAGTCTACGAAGTCTCTGGTCAAGTTCTGCCAACACTGCCGGTTCCTGCTTCTTCCTCTGCTTAGATATTGTGTTGGTTGTCATAGAACCGATTTTATCAAATGCCACCTGATAAACAAAATGTCAGATTGATACTTATGAATCTTCAACACATAATAAACTATAGTTATATAGCTCACCGTTAATAATTCATCCGGATCAAAGAGCTGGTGTGAGGTTGTTTGTATTATGTTGATCACATCACCGACCTGATGAGTCATAAGCAGCTCGTTTTCTTTCATCTGCAAATGAAAGAGAGATTAGTGAAATGATACTTAATCTTCAAGAGGGAAAGGTTATGGAAGATGATGATCCAAAGGAAGAGAAGTAGTAAGAACCTTGAATATTGCCAAAGCTGCATGGAAAAGAACCTTTGCTCCTTCATAGAAGAGTACATCCCAAACTCTTAGAGTTGTCTGCAAACAAAATTTCTCTGTATACTTAATAAAAGCAAAGCTTACAAAACCAAAGAATGTAACATAATGTTTGTTTCTGTAAGAACCTCTGAAGGCAAGCTTTTGGAGAAGAGGCATAGAAACCACTCTGTGGCTACAAGGGAAACATCAAAGCCCATATCGTCAAGATGAGTTGCTATTCTGCAAAAATGTAACGTGTTTTCTTTTCATGAGTGATTTTTTTGGATCAATCAACAAGATTTTAATCAGCTGGTAAAGCTCAGGGAATAAGAAAGAAAAACATACCGAGGACACTTTTGGGCAAGCAGATCTTTGAAAACCCTCTGCTCAACATGACATCCAGACAAGTTGGTTGTGTAGCAGTCACGAACCAATACGTTTTCCAAGAGTACTGCTAGCATCCAGAAGGCGTCTTCTTCTGTCTTCATCACAAGCAATAGTAACGCTGCTACATAGTTTAGCCCCTACCCCACAAAAAAAAGCATCATTCATCAAGATTAAAGAACTCAGCTGAACAGAGACAATGGAGAAGGGAAAAGGATGAGTGTGTGTTTACCTGACAGTAGCCAACATCAGAATCACGAAAGGAATACCCAACAAGCACACGTCGTAAAGCAGCATGACCCTCTGGAGTGTCCAACCACGGATGGCCTGGGAACGTCCTTGGCAAATCCTGCAAGAGTGAAGACACAATGTCAAAGGCACAATGATGAGAACATCCAAAGAGATTTGCACTATAAAAGTTAATTGTTACCCAACTTATCATATCACATATTCTCGAATGATGATCAAATAAAACATTAACTTATCATCTCACATATTCTCGAATAATGATCAAATAAAACATTAATACCAAAAAAAAAAGACTCTGCTGTCTGAACACTAGAGTGATCTAGAACAAATCCTAAAACAAAGGAATCAATCCAAATCCCAAAATTAATGAAAACACTGTCTGAGAACACAATGTAAAGATCAGGGGGAGTAAAACCACTATTCATCGCTCATAACAAATGAAGTAGTCACTCTTCTATGAGCATCTACAATAGTAGTAAAACAGATAAGCTTTTATAGAGTTTTCAACAGTAAGCTCTTAGTTTGTCTGAACACAACAAAATGAACAACAGATCTAAACCGACACACCAAATCAAATCCTAACACAAAGGATCAACGAGAATCAAACCCTTAAACTCTACTAAAGGTTCTGTAAATCAAATAAATCAGACAAGAACACACAAAAACACACAAACAAGAAAGAAGACAAAAGTTTTCAATAAAAATTAAAGACTTTGGATAAGAGACCAAAAGGCAAAACTCACATGATCAATCTGCCTAGTAGCAGGCGTAACCATCCCATCAACAGCCTTACTCAAATCACTATAATAACTCTCAGGCACAGTACTCTTCTTCTTAGCAGCACCAGAAAGCGAAAACCAAACCTTAGGCCTCAACACAGGAGGGATCCCTTTCCTCACCAACCTCTTCAACGTAATCGCATTAGTCAAAGTCGAGATCTTTAGAGAAGACGTCTTCAAGGCGATACCGTCACCGATCATGAGAATATCCGGCTGGAGATACCAATTAGCTCCTTTGCTTGCCTCAAGAGCCCACCAAACTCTCCCTTGGTTCCTCACTTTCTCCCTCACTTCGTTCAAGATGTTCACGTCGTCGACATTGCCTTCCACCGTGAAACCGTATAGGTCTTGGAACTTGACGATGATGTTGGCTCGTCGTGCGTGGATGCTTGGACGCAGGATTGGGATTTGGGATTGGAGCTCCATCGTTAGATCTCGTCTGTTTTGGATCCCAAACATTTTTTTTTTGTCTGAATTTCGAATTGTTTTTTTTTTCAGACAAAAGGTTTTCAATGTTTTTTTTTTTCCTTGTCTGAATTTCGATTTGGTATTTTTCAGACAAAAGGGTTTCAATGTATTTTTTGTTTTTAATGTTTGTCACGTTCTGCAAACGTTATCGCCTTGAATGTTTCTTTCTCTTTCTGATCTTCTCTCCTCTATGCAATTAATTTTTTTTTTTTTTGTAAATTAAAAATTTAGAAACAGAAAAGAAGAAGGGGAAGAGGAAAATTTTTTTTTGTTTCGATCGCTCTGTCTCTCGTGAGGAGGGAATGAGACTAAAAATGGAAAGACAGAGGATGGAAACAGAACCTTTAGATAAAATAGGAAATTTTATTAACTGAAAGGGAAATGGAAAGACAGAGGAGCGTTGAAATGAATCACGCGTCTCTCTCTCTCTCGGTGTCCAACAGAGAATAATGATTGGGAGGAGGAGGAAGAGGAGAGATTTATGCTAGAGATAAAAGGTGGGTTGAATCTGGAAGCTCGAAATTTTATAGGTAGTTGTTATAATTTCATAAAGATTATGATTTTGGAACGTTGGGGGTTTGAAACGAAAGCGTTGAATTTTATGGGGTTATTGTATAATTTCAGGAAGGTATTTTGAAACGTTGGAGAATGAGAGTAGTTTAAACTTCGTCGGACTTCCGGTTCGAAATCGAAATCTTATGTAAACTTGAGCATCCATAACCGTGAAACTCATTGGAGTCCTTATCAATAAAATAAGGATATTTCGGATTAATCTTGAATATTTTGAATTTCTAAAAAAAAAATTGACCATTCACTCACCGTCACATGGTCAATGAGGCCGTGAACAGTGTAAGAATCAATTTTTACCAAAGAATTTTAAACACTCTTTTGACACAAATTCTAAAAAAACTCCTTAAATACTATCTCATAAACTCCCATTGTAGATGTCCTTATGGAATCTCTTTCAAAACGTTTCTAAAATATTTTGTTTAAAATTATATTAAAAGCTTATGATTTCATTAATAGAGATATAACATCTACTCATATAAAGATAATTTATAAACATATTTTGTTACTATAAATTATCTTTACATATTGAAATTTTTAATATATATAGCATATATTCATATATATTGTATGTATTATTTATGAAATGTTAAAAGTAATTAATAGAATAATTGCTTATAAATTTAATTTATGTGTGTTTTATAGTTGTAATATAAAATTATTTAAAATATTATCAATGAATAAAGACTTTATTTTAAAATGAACCATATAATATTTAATCATTTTTTATAAAGTTTCTTATATTTTAATATATATATATATATATATATGATTTAAACACATATTTGCTTCTTAATGTTTTGTAAAAAAATTATTTTTGGCGTTTCATACGCTTTCATATGCTTCCGCGTATCCGTTTCTGAATCAAATGCAACATAGGTAATGAATGACTTGGTTTAATTTTTGAATCATCGCAATATTATGAATTTATCCTTCTTATCAATAAAAAAAAAAACAAATTTGGCCTTGAACATTTGTCTGGTCTTAGCTATGTCCTTATCTAACTGAGGACATTTATAAATCAAGACAATAAACATTGCTTAAAGTTAATAGACCTAATAAATTATGTCCTTTTCATACGTTTGATTGATTTCATTTTACTTCAAATGTGAAAATTAATATTAATGACAATGTTGACATCTTTTTTTCTTTCACTCTAGGAGCATAACCAATAGAGAGAGGCTGATTTCATTGCTAGAAGCAGTGGTGAAACCACGTTACATATTATGGGGGTCTGTGCACCCATAGTTTTTGTTATAGTCTAATTTTTGTTAACAAAGCATAGAAATTTGGTTAGATCAGGTGGAAAAGTTAAGTCGTGCACCCACTCAACAACACAGATTCAAGTCCTTGGCCCTTCTTTCTGTTTATCATTAATAGTGTACCCAGTTAAGAAAATGTCTGGCTTAGCCCCTGGCTAGAAGTGTGACTAAAGAGAAGAGACTTTATTTGTATGTTGCTACGGGAAAGTCTTTCTGGCTCAAACACATTTTCAGTAACGAGATAATCTCTCCCTCTACAAGGTTAGATGTCTCGAATTGTTGTGGGGAGTGCTCTGGTGTGAAGCTCTGTTTTTTTGTTTGGCTAAGAGTCCTTGTTGTACTTGGGTCTATGGTTTTAGGTTGTAGCCACCTGGTTGTAGTGTCAAGAATGATTATTTTCAGTAATGGTGTTTCTTCAGGTGAAAAAAAAAAAATCTAGGAGCATATACATTCCACTCGAAATATATGTCTATCAATCTCAGCAGTTCAAAGCCTTCCTTCGAGTTATATTAACTTATACTATGCTTCGCACGCACAGTATCAATACTTGTGGAGTGGACCTAATGATTGTGTATTCGAAGATTCAAATTTAAATTTGAAATCGTGCATGCGTTAAAACAACTTGAAAACGTAAGACGGCAAAAACGTGCTGAAGTGCCCATGTTGCCTGTGTATATTGAATAAACTTGTAATGTGCATCAAATCAGAACGACACGTACATTTTTTACGATAACTTTAATATAATATATTTGGATCATAGTCTCTCATAGGGGGTTAAGATATGGTATCCCATAATTAAAATTTTAAAATCAGATTTGCTTTAAAGATACGTGAGTCCACGACTCCACTAGCCTTGGGAGCTTTTGCATTTCAAAGTTTAACCATTGTTAATCCATTTAAATGAAATGTCTAGTCTAACTATTTATTTTTTGATAAAGGGCTTTTATTTATAGTCTAACTATTACGTAAAAAATACATCTACAAAATTTATATATGTCTTGAAGATATGCACAGAGTTATGGACGATATAGTTTAACTCTTCCTCACTACGTCATTCATTTAAACTTTGCCGGTAGGACGCAAGACAACCTCACCATTATTAAATTTAATAGTGCCACTGCATAGAGGATAATATAATCCGTTTTATAAACACAAAATGGGCTTCGCTTAATAAATGAGGCAGTTCACTTGAACTTGTAGTCTCATGCTTGAGATAAACACTAACACAATGTATATAGGAATACCAGGGCCGTCACCAAGATCATCAAGCATTGGTTTCAAGACCAGCAAAAGATATTTTATTTTGGGGGTAAAAAATACATAAATTCCTCTCTAGTTCTCTTGGTTTTGACTAGGAATATTGTAGTTCAGAGATTCTGGATTTGAAAACTTGGTTCTACCTTTTGATACTTTTTTGTTTCATTAGATCATGGACCATTTTCTTTTTTCTTTTGCTTCTGGGTCGGAAGTGTTATGTCAACACAGCCCTAATGAAAATTTTGAAAGATTTGTGTATATTGTTTTACAGAGAAGTGTTGAACAAGAAAGAAAACAATACAGCAAAATATCTTGTCTCCAGCTCGATCTGAACTCTAAAGAGAATATGATACAACTTGATATGTTGTATCATAATAATCTAAGGGATTATGGTATTATTGTTGTTAACAACTTCCTCGAATGAGCACTTTTCCTACTAGAGCAAACCAAGACTCTTGGGCCAAGAACAACCGTTGGCCCATCTCAATCAACACATTAATCCGGTTTATTTCCACTTGTTCTCTTATACCAGAAATCAAATCACTGAACCACCCAAGATGTATAGACCTCAGTTCGAAAACACAGCCGGAAGAGCCGATTACTCGCCGGTAAAGCCTTAGGAGGAGATCCACCGCCGAGATAAAAAAAAAAGATCTAAAAGTTTTTTTTTGTCGGCGATTTTATTTGAAATTTTTGAATGAGCTTTCAGTATTCAAACAATTATACAATAAAAAATACATATATGTTTTTATTTATAAGATATGGTAGTTGACAATGAAGTTGCTATTAATAAAGTATATTTGTGATCTATAGTTTATACAGTCAATTGATGTAAGTTGAAGTTTACAAAAAAAAAATAATGTAAGTTGAGTGTGTTGTTCGTGCATCTTTTGAAAGTGACCTATAAATCACAACTATATTTGTAATAATTATAATACTAATAAATAAAATTAGAAATAATAAATAATTTCAATCAAAAATTTTCATTTTATCAAAATATTTTTTCTAATAATTTCATTATTGAGTATTTAGTTACAAAATAATTAGAAATAAATTTTATAATTATTTACGATCAATTTTTCTAACTATTTATATAGTCATATTTGGATTATGGCTTATGATTTTGCTGCCAAAAAATTTGTTAATGAAATGTTAATTTTACTTTTAATTCTCAAACAAAAAGGTTATAACTGATAGATTTTTCATGTCTTTATATTTATAATAAAGATTTTTAAAATAAAATTTATAAAGTTTTTATAAGTGTGACATAAAAAATCTGCATTTAATGAAAAATAAGTTTCACTGAAAACTATTAAAATCTAAAATGTTCTACATCAACAGAATCATAAAGAATCCATCTACCACTAGTTTTATTCTTCAGAAAACCAAAAAATATATTATAAACAAGATAAAAATTGACAGTAAGATATGAAACAGAATCCAATTAGAAATATATGAATAGATATAAAAGTGACATAATTATCGTAATTAATTATAAATATTTTTGATAATTATTTATTAATGAGAAATTTTTAAAATTTTTACTTGAGATAAAATAATGAAAAATTTATATTTTATTTATTCAATATTTTTATTTATAAAATAATACAGTTACTAAATATTTTGTTCTAAAGGTTAACATCTAATTTATTGAAATATTCTTAATTTACATCTATGCCAAAAAAATATCAACTTTAAAAGTTCTTTTGACATATTGTTAATCAACTATAAATATTGATTAACGATATAACTAAAATAATATGATCAATAAAAATTTATAATTAAAATGTATTATCAACCAAAATTAAGTGTTTTTTGGATTCACGAAAAAATTGATGATTTATTTCATTCATATTTAAAAGTTGATGATTTACATTTTTCCTTTTAAATATATAACTGATATTAAATATATATATATATATTTTTTTTTTTTTTTGTTAATGATGTAAAACAAATATTTATGTATATAAAAGAGAAACAACTATCTTCATAGTTGCTCAGGTCAAAGTCTTCTTTTTCTAATTTATCTAGTGGATTTAAAATATTTTCTTCAACTAATTTCCATTATTGAACTATAATCCCTCCACGAATATAAAATAACATGGAGAATCTCGAATCTGTTATGAAAGAAGGTTGTACCCGACAAAGACATTCATTCATCCTTCTGTCTTCCCGCCGTAACTAATCTCCTCAACAAAGCTCACAAAAGGAATCCTCTGTTTAAAAAAGTTGTGATGGGAACATGGAAGAAGAAGAAAAACAGTAATAACAACAAAGTTTGCTACATATCAATCCCATCTCAGATCATAAAGTCCGTTTCTTCCTCCTCTCTCCCCGACAATAAATCTCCAAAAAAGAAGAACACAACAACAAAGTCTTTGTTTCTTTTCCTCAGAAACCCAAAGCTCTGGGCGTTCTGTCTCCTCTCACTTTCTGTTTTAGGAATTTTACTACGACTTGGTCTTTGTCTTTCGTCTCAAGAAAGTCAACTTAGAAACTCGGATTCAAAGTTCCCATCAAACAGTACTCATGTCGAGATTTCGAATGCGAAAGATCGATCTTTAGAGAGCATTCCAAAACAAGCAGTGTCTGTGGAGAAGAATGAGACTTTTGGTGGCACTTCTAGACATGTTTTGGATGATGAGAAGAATGAGTTTTGGAAACAGCCTGATGGGTTAGGATACAAGCCATGCCTTGACTTCTCCTCTGCCTACAGGAGAGAGAGTAAGAAGATTGTTATACAGAGGAGAAAGTATCTGATGGTGGTTGTCTCTGGTGGGATGAACCAGCAGAAGAATCAGATTGTTGATGCAGTTGTGATTGCTAGGATTCTTGGTGCTGTTCTTGTCGTCCCAATATTACAAGTCAATCTTATTTGGGGAGATGAGAGGTAACAAGTTTAACAACAACAACTTGTATCATAAGAATGTTTCTGAATGTATTTTTTTGTTCTTTTGCAGTGAGTTTTCAGATATATTTGATTTAGAGAGGTTCAAGAGTGTTTTAGCAAATGATGTGAAGATAGTTTCTTTACTGCCGGCAAATAAAATAAAGGCTAGACCAACTGAAGATGGTGGCATGCCTTTTGATGCTTCTCCTCAATGGATACGTTCACACTATCTACAACGAGTAAGTTTCATACATCATCCTTTTGAGTAAGTTTCCTTAATGGTTATCTTATCAGATTGTTTTATGCAGTTTAACAGAGATGGAGTTCTTCTTTTAAGGAGATTTGATTCAAGATTGTCTAAAGACTTACCTTCTGATCTCCAGAAGCTTCGTTGTAAAGTAAGTTTCTTACTCTTAAAGCAAAAATACTGTTTGGTTTCTTTTTATCTCCTCCTCTGTTAAACAAAATGTGTCTTTAGGTAGCATTTGAAGCGTTGAAGTTTTCACCACGTGTGATGGAGATGGGGAAGAAGCTTGCAGAGAGGATGAGAAGCAAAGGTCCTTACATTGCGCTTCATCTTCGATTAGAGAAAGACGTGTGGGTGAGAACAGGCTGCCTTACTGGTTTGAGCTCAAAGTATGATGAGATTGCAAGATTAGAAGGGATTAAACGGCCTGAGCTCTTAACTGCCAAGTCTAGCATGACACCTAATGAGAGGAAACTCGCAGGTCTTTGTCCACTAAATGCCAAGGAAGTAACAAGGTGAGTGTGTGAGCTGCTACTGTTTCCTTTACAAAGTGTTAAGAGAGACATTGGTTTTCAAACTCTAGTTTTGTGTGTGTGTTTAGGCTGCTTAGAGCACTTGGAGCACCGAGAGATGCTAGAATCTACTGGGCGGGAGGGGAGCCTCTAGGCGGAAAAGAAGCTTTAAAACCATTAACAAGTCAATTCCCACATCTTTACAACAAATACGATATTGCATTGCCTCATGAACTCAAACCTTTCGCAAAACGAGCTTCTATAATGGCAGCAATCGACTATATAGTATGTAAGGAGAGTGATGTGTTCATGGCATCTCATGGAGGGAACATGGGCCGGACGATTCAGGTACACACACACACATACACTCTCTTAAGGTTTTGATTGGTTTCAAAGTTCACTTCAATATTTGTTGAAATAAATCTTTTCAGGGTGACAGAGCTTATGAAGGACACAAGAAGCTTATAACACCAAACAAAAGGCAAATGCTCCCATACTTTTTGAACACATCAATGACTGAAACAGAGTTTGAGAAGATGATGAAGAAACTACACAGACAGTCTCTAGGACAGCCTGAAATAAGGGTTAGCAAAGCTGGAAGAGATGTTACAAAGTATCCTGTTCCTGAGTGTATGTGCAATAATCAAACCACAACCACTATTTAAACCTTTTTTTTTTGTTGCACATACTATTGTTACACATATATAACTTCTATCTTTATAATGTGCTCTTTTTACTCTAGTTTTGAAACTAAGATCCCACTTTTCCATTAACAAGATTATATTAGGCAAAAAGAATATCAAAACCCAAGAGATTGAACTGATTCACATAGAGGCAGAAACACATGAGACATGCTTATTAAAAAGAAAAGCTCAAAGTCTTACATCAAAGGAACAAATCTTTCTTTCACCAGAAAACTTTGCATGGCACAAAAGTAAAGCTTATTTTCCACAGTGTATCAAACTGCCAGCACCTAGAAAAAGCCCAAAAACTGCTGCACTGCCGAGTGTTGTTTGCCCAATGTACCTTATCTTCATAAGCCCAGGCACCTGCAGAACACAAAAAAAGGAACATATGATCATCAAGCAGTGATCTAATACAATCTCCCAAACGGTTAATTTTAATTGAGTTTATTTCACAATTGTTTATGCATAGAGTAACAAGAATATTCCTAGTCTAGACATAAAACGCCAAGATTATAAATTCATCATCTTCTCCTGCTCACAAATAAACACAAGAAAAGCAAATAATCATAACTGAAGCGTTTAAACGAAATAAAGTTCTCAAAAATGGTGGTGACATAGATGCATAAGTCAATTAGTTAATGCTCTATGAGTTAGTAATGTATTCACCAAGAAAAAAAACAACCAATCCTATTATTTCCAGTTACTCTCATCAAAATGTCAGAAAATATTTAATTTTACAAAAAAAGAAAAAACTAAAGCTTGAAAAGATGTAATCGGAAAGTAGAAAATGCCTTTTACCCTGAATCTAATCGCCTCGTAAGTTCCATAGACAGCACCTGAGAAACAAACACACACACATGATTTAGTCAACAAAACAAAGTATAAATCTTTACATCGTTGTATCATCGAGATTATTTCAATCATTCGGATAAACTAATAAAAAAATAGGGATTTAGGGTTTTTCAAGAGTGAAAATGAAAGGAAGAGGAAGATTACCAACGGCACCGCCAACTGCGCCGCCGACGGCAACTCCGGCAGTGACTTTGGCGAAACAACTAGTTTCTCTCGCCATTTTTCGAACTCTTGTTTTTTTTTTTTTTTTTTTTTT